CGGAGCATGGACACGCTAATTGCTAACAGATTGCTTCATCCGGTGAGGGAGCCAGAAATTTGCACGATCGACGAATACCTCCCGACACCTGTGGCAGGCTTGTTGCTGTTTTGTATGTGTGTGTGTGTGTGTGTGTGTGTGTGTGTGTGTGTGTGTGTGTGTGTGTGTGTGTGTGTGTGTGTGTGTGTGTGTGTGTGTGTGTGTGTGTGACTCATTTTCGTCTCTAGTTTCCATCTATAACCCATCGTTCTGTTGTTCCTAGGTTTGAACAACGATGCTTTATCTACTTTGTCAATTTCTCTCAGAATCTTATATGTTGTCATCATGTCCCTCACCCCCCCCCCCCCGCCAATCTCTCCTTTCGTCCAGTGTGGTAAGGTCCAGTTCTCTCAGTCTATCCTCTAGCTCAATCTACTCAGCTCCGGAAAGAGACTCGTTTCATATCTTTGAACCTTTTCTAGTTACTCTTTGTCCTTTTTCAGATAAGGGTTAAATGCTGGGGATGCATATCAAAAAGTGGGTCTCATCTTCGCTGTATATATTGAGCGCGGAAAACTGTTTTGTCCCAGCGTCGAGTGTGTGTGTACTCACCTAGTTGTGCTTGCGGGGGATGAGCCTCGGCTCTGTGGTCCTACCTCTCAACTGTCAATCAACTGGTGTACACCATGGGCCTGTTGTTTTCTTTCATATCTACATTTAAAACAGTGTATGGAGTGTGCCTCCACCACATTACTTCCTCCATATTCCATTTGCTAACTACTCCGACAATGATTTTTTTGCTTCTGATATATATGTCATTTGGGTACTTAGTTTCCACTTGTGTTATCTACGTTTTTAATTCTTCCGGGATTTTTGTAGGTGGTAATCACGTCTCCCCTAACTCTTCTGTATTCCATGGATGGAAAGTTTAATTCTAGCATTCTTTCCTCATAACTCATACCTCTCGACTACGTGACTAGCCTAGTGGCATAGTTCTGAACTTTCTCTAAATTGACCTTGTGTTGTGAGACTAAGTATGGACTCTACGCTTGAGCCATATACTCCAGGATGTGTACAAACATATTTATGAATATTCCTTTTCACTATAATTATCTGGAAGTCAACCAATTTTTCATATTCCACATGTTCAAATAAATTAAAAACAGAGTATACCTTGCAGTCATATGAGTGTGTTTATGAAACGTAATACACAAAGTTCAATATCTCTCAAGAGACACATGAAATATTATAAGAGGTTCATATTTACTGTTATGCATCTATCGTTCAGTAACAGTAATACTTTTCACTTTTATTAGGAGTAATATTGTCATTCACAACAAACGTGAAACGTCTTTTCAATTTGCAAAGCCTCCAGTTACATTATTGTATATGAATGCCGAGATATTTCTTCAGTCATCAAAATGTCGTGATAGATTTGCCTTCTCGGACCTACACAATAGTACTGAAATTTCATGCTCGGTTGAATCTTCCTACGTGTCCAAGCCTTAGAAGTTTGTTCCAGGCTATGACAAGCGAGCTGCAAGTAGGGATGTAGCCAGCTGCAAGTGGGGATGTAGCCAGCTGAAAGTGGGGATGTAGCCAGCTGCAAGTGGGGATGTAGCCAGCTGCAGGTGGAGATGTAGCCAGGTGCAGGTGGGGATGTAGCCAGCTGCAAGTAGGGATGTAGCCAGCTGCAAGTAGGGATGTAGCCAGCTGCAAGTGGGGATGTAGCCAGCTGCAAGTGGGGATGTAGCCAGCTGCAAGTAGGGATGTAGCCAGCTGCAGGTGGGGATGTAGCCAGCTGCAGATGGGGATGTAGCCAGCTGCAGGTGGGGATGTAGCCAGCTGCAGGTGGGGATGTAGCCAGCTGCAGGTGGGGATGTAATCAAATGAATGTGAAGATGTAGCCAGCTGCAGGTGGAGACGAGTCACTCGTGTCAGTGCTAATAGGTTACAATTTAGAGAAATGTCCCATCAAATCCCTTACCCATCCAGGACAGTGGTCAGAGTAATCAGATCATTGTGGTCAAGTCAGACCACTTTGAAGGGAATAAATGCTTCCATTGTCATTGTACTTAGTCTTTGGCTGACTGGGAAGATGCTAAGTTCTTGTGTTACCATTGATGTAATTCTTATGATGAGGTAAATACTAGTTTCCAGTCACATAGTTCCTAACGACTGTAAATATGTGTACTGATATGCTAAGTCTCGCAAGTCACTGACTGTCTGGGAAGATTAGAGATACTTATGCTCCCACTCAGCATTATTCCCTTTGAAGACGGCATATGATTGCATTTCCACTGCCAAGTTTCGAACAGTTTCTTAAAGAGGATACTTTCTTTTGACTCCATTCCTCTCAATCTCTTACCTATCAGTAAGAGAGTTGGTATTCCGTAACCTCTTTTATATTTATTTGTGAGTTGAAAGGATTTTTTTTATTCATACATAAACTTTCATATTGGAAAGTAAATGGGAGGATATAACCTCCTGGAAACTAAATAACACTCCGAAGTGTCCTGGAAAATGTGAATCATGAGATTGTATTTTTAAAATTAAAATTGACAGTTTCATATTGAGGGAGAAAGCAGAGACAAACAAGCAGTAGAAATCGCGAAATAGTGAGTCAATAATGAAAACTGACAGTAACAAATTGTGAAAGAAAGGGGGAGAGGAAAGATTGCGAGGAAAGGCATGGAACGAGCATCACGAGATAGAATGGAAATGTTCGGAAAACAGAATGTAAAGAAATTCTAAAAGAAAAAAAAAAAAAAAAATTATACATTGAAAACAGGAACAACACACATTACGTTAAGTAATAAATAGGAAGAGACATATTTGGAGTATTCATCTTAATAAAGCTGACAGAATGAACACAATTTTAATAATTAAAGTATCTTGCTAACTAAATTACTTGGAGCAACAAAAAACACTTATGACTAGAAAATTATGTATTAGGAAAAATGAAATATACATAATACACAAATACTCTGAAAAATGGTATCCAAAAGAAGTCAAATTGGTATGAATAAAGAAAACTAGGAACTGCAAACCCAGAGAAAGTAAGTGTGGCGTGCAAATATTATGGAAGAATCTGCGAACGGCGGGAAGGAAATGATTGAAAATATGATCATCATTAAGACAATCTCCGCGAGAGTTGCAGCTGAACCACTGGGCGAAAAGGAGGCAAGTTGACGAGATATAGGAGAAAGTAAAACAAAAACGCTTTCCCTGCTTCTCTTTTTACACCTTATGGTCACGCCTAGTAGGGATCACAATTCTCCGTCAGCCGGCTCAAGCAAACGTCGAGGGAGGCCGAAGGCAGAGTAATTGGTGGAGAAAACTGCCAGATGGAGCCCTGGTGACTCCTTTCGAAGCTGCTGGAGCCAGAGAAAAGTGACCGGAAAAAAATAATGAACTTTTGTCAATTGCTTTTCTTCTGGTTGTCGTTAACGGCCTCACTCTGCTCTTTGACGGCTCTTAATATGAAGACGTTCAAGCATGATTACATCGGGGAAATGCAATCAACCTTCGAAGAAACATTTTGTAAAATTTAACACTGCTGTAAATTAAATTAATACCGTCTCGAAGGTAATCAATATCAGCGATATAACTGATCAATAGAATGTAAATTTGACATGTCTGTTTATTGTTAGTTACGTAAATTATTTACGTTGCTGGGTAAATGTGTTAAAGTAAGTAGCCATGGCATGTTAATGCAAGTATTTCTGAAAACCCAGTGAAGTAGGGCTAGTGTCTAGAGGGTGGGGGGTTCAATCTTCAGGGTTTGTAGCCGATGTACACCAGATGCACGACTGTCGGGATCGAATAGCTTCTACACACGCTTTAGTATTCTTTTCTGCAGACACGTAGTGTATAAAAGTTAAACGTGGCTCGCCCATTTCCTACCTTGCAGGATCTCAATGTGTTTCAGTCGAATTTTATAGAGCAACAAGAGACCAGAAATGAGTCGAAGTGATAAATACCGATAGAGTCGCAGGTTCTTAATGTGTCACTCAGGATGACAGGCTTAGAACTGTTTAAATAAATATTTCAAGCCCATTGTGTTCTAGAATAAAGCTTTGCAAGCACATTAGGTAGCGTCACGTTTTGGTAAAGTTCGGGTTACCGGAGTTAACCGTTAGCAAGACTTTACCTGAACAGAGAAAAAGCTTCACAAGCTTCAGATTCCATCAAGCATTGGCAATTTATTACGTCTGGCCATCCGATAGGCTACGAACCATAGTCGAGCGAGATTTTTCTTACAATTCTAAACTGCCATTGTTATGCATTTTCGCGCTGTGGGGGTTTTACAGGTGCCGAACTTTAGTGCAAAACTCCGTGTTAGAAGTAAGAAGTTTCGATGGCGTTGGGGTATAGGGAGGCAACTCCCCCATCCCTCCTTTCTTTGCGATACACTAAATACCAAGTAGATATTTAGCAAAGACTTTATATGCAACAAATTTGACTTACTAAAAGTAACTACCAAAATAAAGTTTACAAATGTAACAACTTGGAAGGCATCTTCAATCATGTCTTTGTAGCGGGACTCAAGGAATCTCTTAACCACTCTTTCAGAGGTCTGCATGAAATTAATCCGTCACTATCTTCCAGTCCAAGAAGTGCGACTGCATTTTAACTGTTTAAGATGCTTAGAAACCATTTATTAAATATTTTAAACTTTAGGTAGTCTGGAAGCAAATTCCAAGAAAAATCTAATTAGTCACAGTTTGGCCAGGTTGTGTAATGCATTTTTATCCATGGTTATTGCCAGTGACCTTATACTACACCACATTCATAGAAAGGAAAAGAATCATTGTACGTCCGTTTCGAATCTATGCAATTAAGACAATTTTTTTATCCGTTTTTATTTTAAACATTTGTTTGTAAGCATAAACATTTGATCACACAATATCCAGGATAGCGAAGGCCCCCTCCCCCCCCCACACACCTTTAAGTGTGCTGTAAATACTTAAAACAGCCACTGTATCAAGTAGAAGTGTATAGTAATAATAAAACACGACTTATGTTCATGAGATATCCACTGCTTTAAGATTTTATTTGCAAATTAAATCTCAAAAACTTATACCATCTCCAGCCAAATAACCACGAAATATTCTATGCCAAGTAGAACTGTGGAGCCTCGCAGATAACTCTCCTTAAACGGGAACAAGCAGAGTCGTGCCAAGTAATACCGTCGTTGTAATGGTTGTTAAGGACAGCCAGACAGTTCTCGTTGCCCTCATCGTTGTCGGGCTGAGGCAGGCCTCGCCTGGAATAGGATGAAGATTGTATACAAAAGCATATGGTTACGTAGCAGTTCAAAGGCATTCAATAAAATGTAAGTGAACTGGGAAAACTAACCTGCCGGTGCGAGACCAGTTTGAGTAGGAAGAAGAGACGCCAGAGAGCCAAGACCAGGTCCCCGAGTTGTGTTTGTTGCCGCAAGTCCAAATGTCGCTGATGTAGTCTGCAATGAAAACACAAGTTAGATCCCATGAGACTTTAAAGATCCATTTCTTATATTGAGAAGACTGCCAACTTACGTGCGATAATGTATGTGGAAATTATATCTTGCTTCCTTTGACTTTCTATAGTGACGGCCTGGAAGCCGTTGCCAAGGCCAGAGCAGTAATAGTTTGCTTGCTCCCAGGTGTAAGTTCGACCAGCGTCGTGACACCAGGAGAAGTGGTAGGCCTTTCCGTCCTGGACCTCGTCAACCTGAGAGAAGTGGGGTAGTATGTTCCACGAAGTTTAGTGCGAATATTAATTCACCCAAGTATTCAATGAAAGAAAAAATTACCTACCAGAGGCTTAGCAACGGGGTTACAGAGGGGTGAAGCTGTAGTAAGTGATGACAACGATGGAGTGATGAATTGAGGCTGTGGAACAGATGTTGGGAGTGGTCTCGGTAATTGAGGTGGAGCAAACACGAGTTCTTGGACAGGCGCCGTTTGTGGGGAAGGTCGAGGCTGGCTTGTAGCTCCTGGAGTCACAACAAGATTACCAGAGCCTCGAGCCATTGTTTTGTCACTGTCGCCACCAAATATTATTGGCATGCCGTCGCGCCTGACGAAGTACTGTTGGGTCCAGCCAGTACTGGCCATTATGGCAATGATTAAGAGATAAAGCTGTAGTGAAAAAAGAAAAAAAGGTAAAAGCTTTAAAAGTTAAAAACTTTTCCACTAAAGGCTTTCGGGGTAGTATAGGTTAAAGTTAAGCATGCAATAGTAGAGAGCTTATGGTTAACGGTTTTTAAGCAATAGTTTGAAGTGCATGAATATTTGAATTTAGTAAATAATAGTAGGACAACATTAGTAAGTGCCAAATAATTATTTACTTTTCTTGGAACTAGGAAGAAAATTAGTTTAAAGAACTATGCAAGGAATCTTAGAATGTTGGGTAAAGTTTTAATATTCAGAAAACACTTCATGCTATCAGTGTTGTAGGTTAAACATTTACGACTAACTTAGCATGGGAGTCATTAAATGGTTGGACGAGAGTTTTAAATGTCAACAAGTTTACTTAAACGTACTAAACACCACCATTCACATTAATAACCATTGAACAAACCGTACACTACGGCTCACGAAAATATAAATTCATTAACTATGTGAAAAAACAGAAGTGAAACGTTACCATTGTGCTTATTCAAGATACAACAACTGCTGTAGCTGGAGAACACACTAACGCACTAGCATGCGAGCGCCACTTTTATACAGACAACATGTATTCCAATTGGCTAAAGAATTCAGCAGCAACAGTTCCATCTTAGATTCTAATTGGCTGGTCGTCAACAAGGGTCCAAGATGCTAGTTACACTTGCCGCTACAACCCAAACATTCAAGTTGCCACTTGCCGCTGGCAGAAGCACCCTTTAATAATGTCAACAACACAGGTGAAGGTTACTGATTACAAGCACTAACCAAACATTACCTGGACACCGTCACTGCTTTGTGGACTTATTATTAGTCCTTATTATTAGGTAAATTATTGTGTATAATTTGCAATGGTTTGTATTTGTTTATTATTTCCTATATTAAGCCGATGGTCTTGTTCATTAATACAGAATAACAGGCCAGGAGGATGACTTTGTTCTCAGTTGTCGTGGGAGATATTTCGCATTATATTTTTGAAGGTACATTACCGTTTTAAATATAGCACACATATAGCAGAATATAATGATTTAATCATTTACATATTTACATTTAAATGCATTGCAACTGAATGGACGTAAATAGCTTGATCGACGTCTTGCATCGAATGAAAGAGGAATTATAATTTTCACTCGATATTATCATATTTTTTATTATTTTTATAATGACATGCAAAGCATGCTACATAAGAGACAATAAATACAAGAAAACCTAGATCACAAAAAAGCACCAATCACCATGATACAAGATAACAGTCGAAAAACAAAGTAAACACAACATCAGCAAATATCATAAAACAGAAATCGTTTAACATTTCTAAATTTGGTTCTGGTATTTTGTTTAACATGTTATCACCTCCTGTTATTTGTATTCCTGATTTTGTATTCCTGTTTCTGTATTTCTGTTGCTGCTTTCCTGGTTATTATTTTCCTATTACTGTATGTTTGGGGAGTTGCCCTTATTTTGTGTTTTGGCTGATGGTTTGTGTTTGTGTGTTCAATTTTACTGTATTTATGCAGCATACTTTAGCATGTAAATTTCAATAAAAAAATAAAAAATGTTCATGTCTAGTAAAAGTCTAATGAAAAATAACCTGTTAATACTGAAGAAGATATAAAGCATATCGCTTGACAGCTGGCATCCCAAGTCTGAACTATTCTACAATTGTTCATCTCTAGGATATTATTACCATTATGTTAACGAATACATGAACAAAGAAAACCGATAACAATAAATAAAAGCTACAAATTACTAATTGTGGTCAAGTATTATTTCGTTAGTGATTGGAATCAGTGGCCGTTGCCTGTGTTGATGACATTATCAAAAAGCGCTTCTGCCAGCGGGAATTGGCAACTTTGAAGTTTTGGTTGTAGCGGCAAGTGTAACTAGCATTTCGACCCCTGTTGACGACCAGCCAATTGAATTCAAGATGGAAATATTGCTGCTTGAATATTGAACCAATCACAGCACTGGTGAGTCAATATAATTGTCGTCGGGCTGACCGTCTGTTAGTATACTTTTCGAAAACCACAGGAGTGATACATACATCACGAAGAGCGGTCAGTGTGTGTAATTTTTAGTGTAATTTGTGTTGGTAGCGTTTCAAAACGAAAGTTATGATTTTGTTAGTAAATTATTGTATGATAAGGGGTAATGGAATTATTCAAATCATTACTTAGGATTCAGAGTATGCAAAGATCTCATGCTAAGTATTGTATTAAGCTGCTTTTGTTGATTGCCCATAGTTCTTAACTCCTAATAAAATATCATGCCAATAATGGTTGGGAGAAACGCTTGATGCAATGAAAACAAGGATATAGGCATTTATAGATGGTACATATTGCCTAACTTTTATTTTAAGATTTCTCTTCTACAATAACTCGCTGAAAGCATTTCATTAGTTTTTAGTTAACTTTAAATGTTAGTAATTTTCAGGTTTCCACCGAATACCTCTAAAACTAATCCGTTAACGAAGATTAAACTTGCATAGGTCGTGCCCTCTAGTAATTTCGTGCTCAATAAATGTTACTTGGAATCTTTGTCAAACGAAAAGTGCCCCCTCCAGAAGGAAGGTAACTTTATTTTTTCTCCAAATTTGCTTAAACATAGTCCTAACGCGACGCTAAAACAATCGCCATTGACAATAGTTATATATAACTTATGCCGACACTCGGGCGGCGATAATTATATTCAAAAATAGGTTTAAGTCTGTTCTGGAAGACTCCTTTTTTTTTTTTTTTTTTTTTTTTTTTTTTTATTAAAGAGGAATCTTAGGTCTAGTCTTGGTATATCAAAAGTATAACGGGCCAGCAAATTCTTTTAACTCTAGCAGAAGTTATTTTTGACTTCTCCTGGAAATTGGTCTCTCAACCATGTCGCTTAACCTAACGCTTTAGGCCGCAAACGGTAAGCCATTACAATCTTATGAATCCCGAATGAAATTAACACCAGTGTTCAGCCCCAACTGCTTTTTTTTTAGCTAGATTTTACTAGCAGTACCCGGCCACGCGTGGCTGTGGCAAAGACACGCATCGGCGCTGAGCCACGGCAACCTTCCCTGGGGGGGCCACCCCCCGACAGTCTTCTCCGCCATTCTCCACCCCTTCGTCTGATGCCTTCCCAAATAGTCTGATGTTCCTATCAGAAAATTGGGAACAGTGATCTGATGCTCCCATCACTGAAACATAAGAAACGGTTAAAGGAAATTAATATGGAAAAAAATATTAAAGAAATGAACGGTATGGTAAACGCAGCTGAATTAAAATTAGACTCGCAAAATAAATTAAATCAAAATTGAAATCAATACAATTAGGAACATTGAAATGGAATTAGTGATCTATTTAGTATAGGTGCATGTTGCTATTATGTGAAACAGATGGCGCTATTTTTCAAAAACGCATGTTTCTTCTAGTTAGAGGGGTGGCATCTATATAGTAGGTATATAAAAAGGCGCGCAAATTCGAATGCAACGTTGTCAAAATTTCAAAGATATCGGTGTAGAAGTTTCGGAGATTGGCGGTTATGCACAATAACATTTTCATCTTTATACAGATGAAAGTATAGTTACTTTATTCACTACCGAAATGTCTTTGCTTCATTTAAGTTTTGTGGGACACAAATGTTTGCGACTACGTTAAAAACTTGACTAATCTGGTGATAACTTACTGAATCTCTTCACAGATGCATCTAATAATCCTAATCATTGCCATAATGGCCAGTACTGGCTGGACCCAACAGTACTTCGTCAGGCGCGACGGCATGCCAATAATATTTGGTGGCGACAGTGACAAAACAATGGCTCGAGGCTCTGGTAATCTTGTTGTGACTCCAGGAGCTACAAGCCAGCCTCGACCTTCCCCACAAAAGGCGTCTGTCCAACAACTCGTGTTTGCTCCACCTCAATTACAGAGACCACTCCAAACATCTGTTCCACAGCCTCAATTCATCACACCATCGTTACAATCACTTACTCCAGTTTCATCCCTCTGCAACCCCATTGCTAAGCCTCTGGTAGGTAACTTTTTTATTGAATACTTGGGTGAATTAATATTCGTACTAGACTTCGTGGAACATGCTACCACTCTTCTCTCAGGTTGACGAGGTCCAGGACGGAAAGGCCTACCACTTCTCCTGGTGTCACGACGCTGGTCGAACTTACACCTGGGAGCAAGCAAACTATTACTGCTCTGGCCTTGGCAACGGCTTCCAGGCCGTCACTATAGAAAGTCAAAGGAAGCAAGATATAATTTCCACATACATTATCGCACGTAAGTTGGCAGTCTTCTCAATATAAAAAAATGGATCTTTAAAGTCTCATGGGATCTAACATGTGTTTTCATTGCAGACTACATCAGCGATATTTGGACTTGCGGCAACAAACACAACTCGGGGACCTGGTCTTGGCTCTCTGGCGTCTCTTCTTCCTACTCAAACTGGTCTCGCACCGGCAGGTTAGTTTTCCCAGTTCACTTACATTTTATTGAATGCCTTTGAACTGCTACGTAACCATATGCTTTTGTATACAATCTTCATCCTATTCCAGGCGAGGCCTGCCTCAGCCCGACAACGATGAGGGCAACGAGAACTGTCTGGCTGTCCTTAACAACCATTACAACGACGGTATTACTTGGCACGACTCTACTTGTTCCCGTTTAAGGAGAGTTATCTGCGAGGCTCCACAGTTCTACTTGGCATAGAATATTTCGTGGTTATTTGGCTGGAGATGGTATAAGTTTTTGAGATTTAATTTGCAAATAAAATCTTAAAGCAGTGGATATCTCATGAACATAAGTCATGTTTTATTATTACTATACACTTCTACTTGATACAGTGGCTGTTTAAGTATTTACAGCACACTTAAAGGTGTGTGTGTGGGGGGGAGGGGGCCTTCGCTATCCTGGATATTGTGTGATCAAATGTATTAAACCCAACTAACAATAATTGGATAGTCCTGGTGGTGCGGTCATGACATTACCTGGGCCTCGTCAGCACTTTCATCTCCATTTTCTGGACAGGGCGACTGTTCTAAGCACCACAACCTTAACTTGTTACTCCCTCCCCCATATTCACACTGCAGTAATCGGGTACCATATTTTAAACTGATTGCAGGGACTGTTTCAAGGGAGAACCTGGTGGGGTAACAATTAAGATAATTTCCCCCATCTCGCCGTATTTATCTCTACTTGCACTAGGTATTCTGTTACTGTATACACATGAGGAAAGTTTCCCCTCTTAATCTTTCTGCATGATAAATGAAGAAAAAGCATCTATGAAGTCTCGCTTTAATTTGAGAATCTCGTTAAGGATGAGAAGCAGAAAAATAAAGGCTCCAACCATTTGTAATGGGCAACGATGACTGCTAGAAAGCTGTGTGGTTACTGATAAAGGTTCCCCCCCCCCCCTCTCTGTCCGGCCACAACGTGACGGGGGCAGGGGGGGGAGGGGTGGCTGCTGGAGTGTGATGCTCCATGGGACAGTCGTGTCCTTTTGTAGCCTTGTGCTACTGTCTTCTCTAAGCCAGATCGCTTTTCCTTATGTTTAGGTTTTTCTTCCCCCTTCTATCTGCTTGTCGTTTCCTGCCGGCCTTTTGGACTACTTATATTTTGACGCCCGGGTGTTTGGGGAGGCGTGTGCTTGCAGCCGTAGAACTGTAGTACCCAACGTAGAGCGAGGGGAACCTTTTGTCAATCCTCCTTTCGTCGCTAAACCCGATCTTGACGGTTCTTAAGGTGGCGTTTGTGGGGCGTATACTCACGACGCACCCCTAGGGGGCCCTGGCATGATCGGGGATAGCTTCTTGTTGGGTGTCCTGCCTCTAATTGTGGCTCCATGGTGGGTATGGGGGCACATACAGACTAAGTGATAAATTCATCCACGTATGTCATTGAATGTTTGTACCCTCTGGGGCTCGTGGGGTGGGCGACCAAGGCCCCCGCCCCACGGGTTCACATTGGGTTCAGTGATGAAAGGAGGATTGACAATAAAAGGTTCCCCTCGCTCTCGACGTTGGGTACTACAGTTCTATGGGTGCAAGAGTATGCCTCCCCAAGCACCCGGGCGTCAAAATAGAAAGTCCAAAAGAATAACCAAAACGAGCAAAAGGTTGGCAGGAAACGACAGATAGAGGGGGAGAAAAACGAAACATAAGGAAAAACGATCCGGCACAATTAAAGACGGCAGCAACTAGGAGCATAAGGCCACAAAAGGACGGAGGACTGTCCCAAGGAGCATCACATTCTGGCAGCCGCCCACTAAACCCCCCCCTCACGGCATCAACGGGCTGAACAGGGAGAGGGGTGCTTTTGAAAAACGTCAACATCTGTTGGACTTAAGATGAACACACTAATCTCGGTAAGTAATTATCAAAAAGAAGGCACCAAACCGGGAAGGTTATGTAGCACTATAAAATGTGCGGGATAATCAGAAGGCGCTAAATATCACCAAGGATGCCAATACGAGAACAGAAACGCACAAGGTGAACGATATCAAAAGTATCAGTCACAGGCGAGGGGCGGTCGGAAAGCAAGACATGCTCGTCCTGGAAGTCAGGACATTCAAGGACATGCAAGACCGTAAGAGGGACAATGCAATTAGGACAATAAGGAGCAGGGCGGCGCTTCATAAAGTGACCACGAGTTAAGCGAGTATGGGCAATACGCAACCTCGCCAGAGCTGTTTCCCATCGCCGGTTACGGTGGTAGGAGGACGGCCACGAGGAAGCACAACATTTAAGAGTACGTAGTTTGTTACCAGTAACAGACGACCTAGAAGCCTGCCAACGGGCAAGGATGGAGGAATGGATAACCGGGTAAAAGTCGGAATGTGGAATACCTTTACGAGAGATGGGACAGCTTCCTTGGCGGCAGCATCCGCACGCTCATTGAAAGACACACCAATATGGCTGGGAACCCAACAAAACTCAACCGACTTAAATTTACGGTGAACAAGAAACAGCCAATGCTGGATCTCGACAACTACTGGATGAACCGGATTAAAGGACCCGAGTCATGAGACTCAACAACTACAAAGGAAGACTGACAACGAGAAAACAGACGAAGAGCATAGAGAATAGCATAAAGCTCCTCTGTAAAGATGCTAGTTTCCGGAGGTAAGCAACACATAAGTGCGATCAGGAAAAACAACAGAGTAGCTAACACCGTCCGCAGACTTAGACCCATCGGTGAAGACAGAAACGGAGCGGGAGTGAGAAGAAAAGTGCTCAAGGAAAAGGCGTTTTAGAACTGTAGGAGGGTTAAAGCTTTAGTGATGCGGGTCAAGGATGTACAAAAGTGCGGAAGGGGGACTCTTCACGGGAGCAAAGCAGGAACAACACGAGAAACAAACACGAACGGAAAGAATCCTGTAAGCGAGATAACCGGACGGAAAGAGGGAGGTGGTGAAGAGGAACAGAAACCACAGGAGGGGTAAAAGTTAAAGGCGACAGAGGCGAGAGGAAGGATGTTGAAAGGACCGCGCAAGATAGCGAAGACAGTAGCGATCACTGCGGTCCTGGAAAGACAGGAAGCCAGTGTCAACATACGAGCTAAGGACAGGAGTCGAACGGAAAGCACCAGAACCGAGGCGCAACCCAGTATGGTGCAAAGCATCAAGACGGCGAAGAGTAGAAGGAGAAGCAGATGATTAAGCAGGGCAACCATAATCGAGCTTAGACAGGACGAGAGAGGAATGTAAAGCAAGGAGAGTGCGCCTATCCACTCCCAAAGTATGGGACAATACCCGAAGGAGGGTAAGGGCCTTAGAGCACTCAACGCGGAGGTAAGAGATATGGGGAGACCCAGACAAACGAGTGTCAAGGAATAACCCCAAAAGCTTCGCGGAATCTTTGTACTCAAGGGGATGACCATAAAGTGACAGAGGGACGAAGAACGACCCGTTTCCGAGTAAAAGACATGGCACAAGTCTTAGAAGTAGAGAATTTGAAGCCATGATCGGTGGCCCAAGACGACACGGCATCAATCGCAAGTTGAAGCCGGCGCTGAAGGAGAGGCGAATCATCACCCTGACAGCAAAGGGTAAGATCATCGACATAGCGGAGAAGACACCTGAAGGAAGAGAGGAAAGAAGACCATTGAGGGCAACCAGAAAAATAGTGCTCAGAACACTACCCTGGGGCACACCTTTGTATTGCTGAAAAAGCGGCATAGAGCAGTACCAAGGCACACCCGAAAGGAACGACGAGAGGGGAAGCTGTGGAGAAAGAGAGGGAGATGACCACGAAGGCCAAAAGAATGAAGCTGGGATAGAATATGATAACGCCAAGTGGTGTCTTAAGCCTTTTCCAGGTCAAAAAGGACGGCAACAACAGAGGTCCTCGCAGCAGAAACAGTACGAATAGAGACCTCTAAGTTCACCAGCACATCTGTCGTGCTGCGGCATTTGCGGAAACCAAATCGAGAAAGGGAGAGGTGGTGATGGTGTTCCAGGAACCACATCAGACGAACGTTAACCATACGTTCAGAGAGTTTGCAGACAACTTGTGAGGGAAATAGGGCGAAAGTCCTTAGGGGAAGTTACCAGAGACCCTGGTTTGCGAACAGGGAGGACAACGGCATCGAGCCAGTCCTCGGGGACTGACGACGACTCCCAGATCCGATTATACAGACTCGGTAAATACAGAGACATGCACGGAGGGAGATGGCGAAGCATTTCATAATGAATACCATCGGAGCCCGCCGCCGTGGAACCGCAGAGGGCCAGGGCAGAACGAAGTTCAGCGAGAGAGAGAGAAGGGATTGTTATAGGAAAGTCGAAGACGAGTGCAGAAATCTAAAGGACGAGACTCGGCGACAGGTTTACGAAGAAGGAAAAATTGAGGAAGATGAAGACCAGAGCTAACAAAAGTGGGAACCCAGTTCGATAGCGACCAGCAACGGGTCCACCACAAGAGTACCTCGGAGGTGAAGGACCGGTGAAACATCGGGAACGGACTTACCCCCTATCTTGCAGATACTGTTTCAGATCTGTGGCAGGGGAGTTTCGGACAATTGTGGAGACATAAGATGCCCAACATTCACGTTTAGCCGTACGGATGGCCCTATTATGTGCAAAAGATGGCGCCGTTTTTAAAAAATGCATGTTTCTACCCGTCACAGGTGGCATCTATATAGTAGGTATAGAAAAAGATGCGCCTATTCGAATGTAACGTTGTGTCAAAATTTCAAAGCAATCTGGTAAAAACTTTGGAAGATTACAGCGTGTGTTGGTCTTACGTTCAATAGATGGCACTTTTTCAAAGAAAGCATGTTTTCTTCCTGTCACAGGTAAGTAAATATAAACACTCGCCAATTAGAATGCAACTTGTCAAAATTTCAAAACAATCAGTAAAGAGGTTTCGAAGATTTCACTCATGAAAAACGGTTTACAAAATTCCGTCAGACGTAACATAAATATAGTCTGTATATAAAATCCTGCTCCGATGCGAATGGAACATTGTGTGCAAGTTTCAAAGCAATCGGTGAAGAACTTTCGGATATAGCGATTTTGAACAAACATTTACATTTTTTTATTTATAAGATTTTGCGCGACTTCTGGAATTTGAGCTGTGTTTACCATACAGTTCATTTCGCATGTATGAAGGCCAAACCTGTGACAGGTGTGACTGCTTTTCTTGAAAAAACTGCACCATCTGTTGCATGCAAGATCCACACACATGCTATACTAAATGTTACAATGTCATTTTATTGATAACTTATAATTCAGTGTTAATTTTGATTAAATATTTGTGCGAATTGCGTCGTGTTTACCATGCCGTTCATTTTGCGAGTATAGTTTATTTTCAAATTTCATTTTGTAACTTTTTATATTTCAGTGATGGGAACATCAGATCACTTTGTTCTCAGTTTTATGACGAGAACCTCAGACCATTTGAGTAGGCATCGGACGAGGAAGTGGGGGATGACGAGGGGATTGAAGTGAGATGGTGGGGAGGACGAGAAGACGAGGAGGGGTGTAATGGTGGGGAAGGATGGGATTGGAGAGTTTGGGATGGTGGGGGACGAGGGAATGGAGGGGAGGATGAGGGGACGGTGAAGTGGGGGGGGGGGGGAATGGTTGGATGGCCGAGGAGACGGGCGAGTGGGGGAGGGGGAAATGGCGAGAACGACTGGGAACGTTGCCGTGGCTTGGCAACGGACATGCGTTGCCGAGCCACAGCAACGAATGGCCGGGTACTGCTAGTACATAAAGTAAATTTTTTTCAGCTATCGTTTTAGCCACCACTCAGATTAGGCGTCACAACGGAATTGCTATTCACTTAACGTGCAGAAGTTACGAATTCTTGTACTATAGCACGAAAGTACTTTTGTAGCGTGTGTTTGCACGTCCAGTGTCCAATTCCGATATATGCTAGTTTGTATTTTAAGAGAGTTGCCACGACAGACAATAGATTTAAATTCCGTGCAAGTCATTACGAATATTAGACAAATGTACATATGAACTTTATTTCATAGAAGCGTTACAGATCTTTGGCCGTAGTTAATGATACCAGTCCAAGATGAGGGAAGACTACCATCACACGGCGGCCTCACAGATGACCGGCTTCACGTGGTGACAAGCTATGTCATGCCACTTTATGCCGTCGTTGTACACATTTTTGAGAACACCGAGACAGTCTTCGTTGCCCTCACGGTTGTCCGGCTGTGGCTGGCCGCGCCTGGTAAAGAAACCAACAGATTAACTTTGTGGTTAATGTTGGGAAAAGGGGAAGGGGTAGAAATAAGAGTTTCCAAAAGAGAAAAAAAAATAGCATAAATACAGACCCGCCAGTAGGAGACCAGTTTGCGTAGATAAAAGCAGAACCTGACAACCATTGCCAAGAGCTTGAACCCCGTTTGTTGCCCGAAGTCCAAATGAACTGGATCTGATCTGATGAGTAAAGTTTAATGAAGCATTAGTCTATGAACCAATCCATTCAACAAATGATTAACAAAGTATAATTGTTTAAGGGGACGGAAACTACAGTTCTTACGCTTGGCGATAATATCTGTAATAAAGTCGTCCTCATCTTTGTCTTCTATGCTAACCGGCTGGAAATCCCTACGAAGATTTTGACAATAGGTTGCCGCTTCTGCCCAGTTTAGCATTTTAGGTCCAGTGCACCAGGACAGGTGATATGCGCTGTTCCTCCGGGCATGGTGGATCTGAAGCAGTGGAGGGGAAAAGTTTCAACAAAAAGTTACAGGAAGAGGTGAAGCACCAAACTGATTACTAGTACAAGATCTTTTACAAATTTATCAAAGATCGGCAAACTTACTAGGCCTCCCGTCATGGGAGTGCAGAGTGGAGTAACCACAGGTGTTGGAAGGGGACGGGGCAAGGCAGGCCCAAGGACAGGTGGTGATACAGATAGTCTTACAGGGGAAGGGGCCGTCAGAATTGGTAGAAGCGGAGAAGACGGTGGAGAAAAACCTGGCTGGGACAATCTTTTTTGTGCACTTTGAGAGATTACTGGAAGCAACAGTGGTGACTCCGTTCCTGTCGAGGTTTGGTTAGTTGGGAACAAAACGAAGAGGCCATCCGGCGAAACAAAGTGATCGCCAAGCACGCCACACGTACACAACACCACAAAGAACGGCTGTATCATCCTAAGTGATGAGATTTCACACGTTACGAAAAAAAATAATATAAACCTTGTTAATTTGAATAGCTTTAAATGCACAACCCCAACTAACACTGAACTCGTTATCAACACTGGGCAAAAAACGGGAAAATATTACCAACACGCTCATAAACCCACGTTACCTGATGGTAGTATAGCTCTCCGAAAAACGACGCACACTGAAGACGTATGTCCAGAATGCTCCTTTTATTACAAAAGCTCGACAAAAGACAGGTGCTGATTGGACGATTTTCACTCGATAAGACATCCCATTGGTTTAGCTTGGGAGGTCTTCAATTGACGACTCAGTGGTCATTACAAATGGCCAACAGCCACTTGTTAGAGGACCAATTAAGCAATATTAGCCTCTAATGAACCACTAACGAGCGTCATTTTGATTAGTTGAAATATTTTCTTCCCTAGCCTGAGGCAAATAACACTGATAACGTTAAAATATGTTTTAATTCAGCCTTAGACACTCAAACATTACACGAACAATTTCCCTAACGATTGATAAGCGCACCAGTGTTGACAGCAATACTTGATATATTATGTAAAACAACTAAACTAACTGCAGCTTCAATATGCATAAAAATAAATTACATAAAACATCTTTTTGTAATTAAAAGTACTGTTTTTATTGCATAAAATGAAAGTAACTTCATATTACCACGGATCTATGGCATCTGCTGATTTCTACACGAACAAAGGTTGATAATTGTATGCCTTTGTCACAGCAATTCGAAGGCTACACACAGAGGTGTACCCCACATCTTGGGGTATACCTTTGTTCTGGACAAATAATTACCTTCACAATTAATAACAAATTCGATAATCAGCAACATATTAAGCATGATTTTAATACAAAAATTTTAATTGGGATACAAATACAATTTATGAAGAATAAATTTTATTACAATTAACTTTCACACTAAGTAGTTAGGAGTTAAATAAACAGAGACAGAGAGAGAGATAATGCCACTTTTCGATCCTGTATCACAATCCTGAAAGCTTTTCGAAATGTCTTAATAATATTCAGACTTATATCGGCGTTCGTTGTCCCTATAACCATCCTGTGGGAGTGGTGGGCCCCATACCCTTCTCGTGGGAGTCGTGGGCCCCATACCCTTCTCGTGGGAGTCGTGGGCCCCATACTCATCTCGTGGGAGTCGTGGGCCCCATACTCATCTCGTGGGCAGGAGTAGGAAAGGTTACTGAGGCACATATTGCGTACAGGAACTGAACCCCAAAAATTTACTTAGCTGAGTAAGTAAAAATCTTTAATAAGCTAGTTGCACAGCTTAAAGTATATAATAGTTTTTTTTTATAGTACTAGTGGTTGAAAAATAGGCCCACAACAGTTTTAAACTTATGAGTGAAATGTTCAAAATATGGACTGCTGTATTTACAAAAAATAACCCGTGTTTTGCACCATTCCATTTATAGAGGCCTGAGCTAGAAGGCAACAAACAAAAACAAATTTTGCACAGCTGTGTACTAAATTAGGACTAATATTGAGTATGTTAGGGCAAGGATGGCCTGTTTACCTGTAGGACACGATGGATAACGATTGTAGCTAGGCTGCCATATATATTTAAAATAGTACAAAAACATTGACTTTTTTTTGTTTTTACAACAATGCATATTCTGTACAATCTATCCCTACTAGCTATATATTTCTGAAAAAACTGGCTGCTTATCTTTTTCTAGCATCGAACAGTATCATATCCCATCATAACGTTTTCTATATGTATACAGCATCAATGAGAGAGAACGGCATTTGAAGGAATGTCCGTTTTCTGTTTTGAAGGGTTACATACAATTTTAAGCTAACTTGAACGTTAATTTTCTTTGTAACTTGAGGCACTCACGTGGTAATTAGTGTGGAAGTGTATTGGAAGTAAAATTTGATCATAATTGCTACAACATAAATACTTCCATGGTAAAACATTACACCTTAACTGCTAGTGTCAGTGATCTGCATTTAAGTGAATAAACACTAGTCGGAAAATTTTAATTCTTAATGGACAGATCGCTAAATTATAGGGAATTTGTCAATCAAATAAGTTATACCGCTCGACAGGTCTATCCAACATAGCTTTGGACATTGGTATACTCGCAGATGGTAGGCTTGACATGGTGGCAACCCACGTCGTGCCAGGTGATGCCGTCGTTGGGGTAGAACCGGTTGAGCACTGAGAGGCATTGTTCATTGTTGTCTTCCTGGTTGTCCGGCTGAGGCTTGCCGGGAGTGCTAAGTGATTGATGGAAAGAGAGATAGAGATATTATAATTATTATATTATACTTTTTATATATATATAATTAAAATTTTATATTACTTTTCATATTATAGTTATTATTATACTGTACAGAGTGGCTCTGAAGTTACTTTTCCGGTATGTATAAATTATATATATATATATATATATATATATATATATATATATATATATATATATATATATATATATATATATTTCAGTTGCATATGTCCTGGGGACCATTCAGGCTTGTTCGCATATATATTTATATACGAATTTCTGTAGCCAGCGGCGGCTAGTTATCGGGCACCCAATAAACATCATAGGAGCGGTAACGCAAAGGGATTACAGAGGGAACAAAAAGTCTGAATATTAAGTTAAAATAATACAGATTTATCAGGGACAATGAGTGCTAAACATTGGCAACTACTTACAATCCGGTGAGAGCCCAGTTGTTGTAGGTGAGGGGCTGACCTGTGGCCCACTTCCAGCCTTTGGGACCGCCGCCCAGACGGTTCCCGCTCGTCCAGATGTATGGTAGACCGTCTGTAACAACCACCAATATATCTTAGTTTCATACCATATGGGAGGAAGTAAATAAGTATTGTGAAGCGCTAAGCCAGCATGGCTGCATGTTGCTCTCGATGCGTGTGGATGTCCCGAGATTACAACTAGTAATATAACCTTTGTCCGGCTATGCAATTCCCGGATTGCTGCTTACGTTATCATACAAATCTCCAATTGGGAAGATCTCCAAATGTACAATTTGCCATTATAAACAAGCATTCTTCCATCACTCTCAAAATCCTCAACCAACGTTAATACTCACGCTTGTCAATGATGGAAGAGATGAACTGGTTCTCAGTCGGGGTCTCTATGCTCACACTACTCCACCCAGGACCCAGTTTCTTACAGTAATTTTTGGCCTGCTCCCACACGTACTTCTGCCCCCCGTCAGCGCACCAGGAGAAATGATAGTTGCTTCCACTCACAGATACGTGAACCTGAACGAATTGACAACTTAATGAAATACAGATTGAAATGAATCCACCTTTTAGGTATGCGCATTCAAGTATAATTTTATTTATAATTTAGCAAATAGAAATACAATTCTGATTTTCATTTATATATTGGAGAGGACAGTGAAATCAAATGATCGAGGAAGTTGTACCAAGTAGAAAAATACTTGCCAGGGGACTGATGTATGCAGGACAGAACTGAGTTGAGAGAGGCCGTTCCAGGACCTGGCCTCCGCCAACAGCACCTCCAAATCCACCAATTATTCCAGCACCACCGATCCCTCCTGCATTGCCAAATCCACCAACCCCTCCCGGCTTCCCATGTACAGACCCGGCAACAGAGCTGGGGAACTTTATCGGTCCGCCGCCGCCGACGCCGCCGCCACCAGGTCTCCCGGGGAAAATACCGGGTCTTCCAGGGAAGTTATTGTGCCTCTGTGGGAAGCCGCCGCCTCCTCCGTAGCTACCGTAAGGGAGCTGACACTGAGACACCCCCACCACCACACTCAGCACAGCCAACACACCCTTCATCTGCCGACAAAAACATAAAAAATTAGTTAAAGCACGCAATTAGTATCAATAAATCTATTAAACAGACTTTAAATTTAGATGAACGAATGGGAACAGATTCATATATTTATTGATAGAAAGGAAATAACAAAATGGTAAATAAAATATGAATGGTATTTTAGCCATGCTTAAAATTTATTAAAATATCCTCATTTAAGGGTTAAATCAGTAGTGATAATACTAACTTGACTTATAGCCAAATACTGAAGCACACACACACACACACACAAACACCAGGGGCCTCGTAGCCTGGTGGATAGCGCGCAGGACTCGTAATTCTGTGGCACGGGTTCGATTCCCGCACCAGGCAAAAACAAATGGGCAAAGTTTCTTTCCCCCTGAATGCCCCCTGTTACCTAGCAGTAAATCAGTACCTGGGAGTTGGTCAGCTGTCACGGGCTGCTTCCTGGGGTGTGTGTGTGTGTGCGGTGTGAAAAAAAGTAGTTAGTAAACAGTTGAGAGGCGGGCCGAAAGAGCAAAGCTCAACCCCTGCAAACACAACTAGGTGAATACACACACACAGTTTTTATGTGTGAAAAACACTTTTGTGAAAGAAACCCAGTTTGAATTCCTTTCACCGTGATTCACTTGTTTACCTAGCAGTAAATGGGTACCTGGGGGATGTGAGTGTGAGCGTTAGAGAGAAATATATTTAGTAGACATATCTTGAGGTTATCTTGAGATGATTTCGGGACTTTAGTGTCCCCGCGGCCCGGTCCTCGACCAGGCCTCCACCCCCAGGAAGCAGCCCGTGACAACTGACTAACACCCAGGTACCTTTTTTACTGCTAGGTAACAGGGGCATAGGGTGAAAGAAACTCTGCCCATTGTTTCTCGTTGGCGCCCGGGATCGAACCCTGGACCACAGGATCACATGTCCAGCGTGCTGTCCGCTCGGCCAACCGGCTCCCTAATAATAGAGTCTACTAAATAGATAGATCCCCGACATAATAGTCTACTAAATAGATTGGTTGAAAAGCACGGGTCCAAAAGCTAATAGATCGATTTTGAACGCACAAATAGTAAATATACACACAGATATACAAGATCACAGAGGAATTGAAAGGGCATAAAGTCAGTATTTAACACGGATTTGTACACGCACAACGAGACAAAGGTGCTAACTGAGTACTCAGATGAGCCACTGAGACATTGGAAAGAACTTTTTTTAGTGTCAGAGTAGTTAACAGATGGAATGCATTAAGAAGAGATGTGGTGGAGGCTGACTCCATACACAGTTTCAAATGTAGATATGATTGAGCCCAATAGGTTCAGGAGCCTGTATACCAGTTTATTGACAGTTGAGAGGCGGGATCAAAGCGCCGAAGCTCAACCCCCGCAGGCACAAGTAGTGAGCCTGCGGGGGTTGTAAATGTACTCGCCAAATGAGTAAGTACACACACACACGTAAATAATTAAGAAACACAGTAGCAGCTGTAGGTTCCAAAAACACAATGCCGCGTACCATGTTCTAGGTTTAATCTATCCATCACAATTTATGCTACAGAACTGAACCTAAAGAACTTTCTTCTTGAATAAGAAAGCAATGAACACGTTAAATTAGGTGTATAAATGGGCGTAATATACACATTAAACTTGGAATATTAATGGGCTTAATATACGTCTTATTAAGTAGGCTGATGTAGGTAATATACACGTTAAACTAGGTATAGTAATGGGCGTAGTATTCACGTTAAAGTATACATGTTAATGCGTAATATACACGTTAAATTACGTATGTGTGTGCGCGTGTAAGTGGGCTCGTCCAGCACAGTGTGTGATCCAACTGACTTACAGCTACAAAGATTGATAAGAACGCTCTCATTGGGTTCTCGCACCAAATGAATACATATCTATACGCTATGAACACAAGCTCATAAAAGTATCATATTTACTAGAAATAAAAGCATCGTCAATATGTGCTTCCAGAATTTTTGGAATTAGACTTTCAGAGGTTAATTGGGCTGGTGTAGGTCGTTATGATATGTAAAATATATAAATACTTGGACCCTCTAATCAGACAGTGAGAACGAGTTGCAGAACGAACGAACGAGCAAGGCAATACGACAATATAGCATTAAGAAGGGCTCAGGATAAGGATTTGGGATGGGTCCGGGTGGGGGAGAGAGAGAGAGAGAGAGAGAGAGAGAGAGAGAGAGAGAGAGAGAGAGAGAGAGAGAGAGAGAGAGGAGAGAGGAGAGAGGAGAGAGGAGAGAGGAGAGAGGAGAGAGGAGAGAGGAGAGACACCGACTGACTGACCGACCTTGAAACCGTCCGACACTCACCTTGACTCGTGGGGATGTGATGCCTCCAGCTTAAGCTCACCGGTATATATACTGGACTCTGCGGCACACCTGGCCTCTCAGGAAATCACTGGATTTCCCACTTGTGTTCAGGGGTCAGGTGTTTTTAGAGTTTTGACGGAAACTGTTACTAACCACAGCAGTGTCTTCCACTCCTCGTGAGCTCCGAGTCTGCAGTTGGTGCTTTGGATCGTATTTTACGTATCTTTATGTTAAGTATTTTGTGGTATTGCTCCTAAATTGATTCCGTTTGACTGTCCTGTTCAAAACCGCTTTCGCTGTTCGTAATTATGTTACATTTTTCAAGATATTCCACCAATTTAGAAGGCTGTTTACTCTAGGCAAAGTATTACTAAGTACTAATGTCTGAACTAATAGAACATAGACATAATATATTATGAAAACTAAACCACATACCAGAATATGAGGAGGCGACGACGTTTTCGGTCCGTACTGGACCGAAAACGTCGACATACCAGAAAACGTCCACATACCAGAATATATCAAGTCGATTGTGATAATGGTCTACTTGATAACGGCCCAGAACGGTCCGAAACGTCGTCGTCTCTTCATCTTGGGGTGTGTAGTTTGGTGTTCATATCTTCAGCCACGTTATTGTGATTCATCGACTGCATAATACATTTTCCACTAATCGCGTAAAGCTGGCGAGTACTTCCGCGGTTCACAAAAGAAAATATCGGATCCGATCTCAGGACGGGACAGAGATAATTGAGTACGCTTCTTTTCATCTGATGCCTATGTTCACCTTGCAGTAAATAAGTACCCTGCAATTTTGCATCTGGTGTGGGGCTGCATCCAGAGGAAAGTCATCAGTAATTTTTCACAAGGAGGACCTGCGTTCAGTAATTCCTCCCGTCACTCCCACCCCACGATAACCCTCCCCAACCCCCTGCCACCCCACGACAACCCTCCCCAACCCCCTGCAACCCCACGACAACCCTCCCCAACCCCCTGCCACCCCACGACAACCCTCCTCAACCCCCTGCCATCCCACGACAACCCTCCCCAACCCCCTGCCACCCCACGACAACCCTCCCCAACCCCCTGCCACCCCACGACAACCCTCCCCAACCCCCTGCCACCCCACGACAACCCTCTCCAACCCCCTGCCATCCCACGACACCCCTCCCCAACCCCCTGCCATCCCACGACAACCCTCTCCAACCCCCTGCCATCGACACCATCCACACACCCCCAACCACATCCAAACATCACTTACCACCGAACACCACCCCAGCACCACACAACTACACCAAACACCACCCCAGCACCACACAACTACACTGTACACCACCCCAGCTACACCCCAGCACCACACAACTACACTGTACACCACCCCAGCTACACCCCAGCACCACACACCTACACCGTACACCGCTCCTACAACACACACCTCCCATCCACGCCGTCCTGACTGCGATGTTATCACAACCTGTTCCTCCGTGCTGGAGGCGATCACGTCCCTGCCAGAGACCGTCGACATGTTCACAGGCGAAAAAAAATATATATATTGACGTCATATCAATATTATCATTAATTATCATAAAGGTCAGATTGCTGACCTTTGCTCCACATGACGAATAAACTTCTACCAAGGAATCAAGATAAAACTGTACAAGATTGCATCAAAATAAAATAATATACGAAGACAAAAAAAAAAAGAAAAAATGCAAAGAGAAAATAATATTTGAGCGTATTTTAATAGCAGAGATAAAATATAAAATGTTGGTTCACTAGGAGAGCATGAAAGGGCTGGCCCTTCCTCTACAAGAGTGTTATGATCGTTTGGGAGTTTATTATTTTCTAGAAGTACTGGGACTAACTTTTTTTGGAGAGCTGAAGCCTCCTCCTGCGTCGTAGGATAGAGCAAGGACGGTGCTGGGGACCTTGTTTGACGAGTCCTGACTACCGCAGTGTCTTGAGGTCTCTGCCAGTGTCTTGATGCCTATGACCGTGTCGTGATGCCTCTGCCAGTGTCTTGATGCCTATGACCGTGTCTTGATGCCTCTGGTAAGGTAGTGATGGCTCTGACAGTGTAGTGATGCCTCTGGCAGTTTAGTGATGCCTCTGGCAGTTTAGTGATGCCTCTGACAGTATAGTGATGCCTCTGACAGTGTAGTGATAATTCCCGTCATAACTGGGGACCTGCTTGTATAGGACTGGCGGGTCATATTCTAAGCCAAACCAGTGAGGTAAGGCTATGGAAAGAGAAAACTGCCAGCTCGCTAGCAAGGGTCAGGAGTCTCCAACGTGTGTACCCATTCGTGTAAAGAAAAAAGAGGTATGGAAAATCCCGCCGCAGGAATGTGTACAACCTGCCGAAGCGGATGAGTCTCGTTAACTTCATCAACTGGCAATCTTAACCGGAAGAGTATACAGGGAAACTTTAGAGCAGGACGCGCACCTGTGCAATGGTGCAAGGTTTTTCCCAGCTTTTGTTTGTACATACATGTGACTGTTTCCCCGGTGAGTGCGAACTGAGTGAGCGTGTCAATGTAAAGACCTTTAGCATTCAGTAGGTAAACTAATTATTTCGTATTTCTGGATAATATGTGGCGAAGCAAGAAAACGTTCGCAAATTTAATTTCACATTTTCAAAGCTGATACTACTTATATATATATATATATATATATATATA